GTTCATGGAAATCTGAAAATATAAATTCGCAAAAATCCTACAAGGTCTCGAAAATGTCCCAAAGAGCTTTCGAAAAAAAATCTGAAAAAAGTAAATCACAAAACCCTGAAGAGTCTCAAAAAAGTCGAGAAAATTCCTATAAAATCACGAGAGAACCCTAAAAATTTCGAAAAATCCAATATGAAAAAAGAGTTGAAACAAAACACAAAGAAAAATCGCAAAAAAGCTGGAACGGTTAAAAAAAAAAATCGAGAAATTATCGGTAGTTCTCAAAAAAAAAATCCCCAAAAATAAGACGTCAGGAATCTCGAAAAAATTCAGAACGATACCCAAAAATCCCCAGAAAATCTGGCAAAATCTAGACTAGCCGTGACTAGTATTAAGATACATAATTTGTTCTGACGGCCGCTGTGACTGAGTGATTAGAGATGGGTACTACCACTGCGCAGGATCATGAGTTCGATCTCTGGCTAGGGCAACATTTATATTAGAAAAGGAACAGCGGTCGCCACTCGATTGCCGTTCAGAGGCGGTGGAAAACTTTAGGTCCCTCCATTTGTGTTATAAAATCAGCATGCACCCCACAAATTAGAGAAGTTCGACCAAACACTTTGCAACAGTGAAATTAAAAGAAACCACCCCGCTAACAATGCCATCGAGAGGCACGATTTTCAAGAGGAAGAAAATGGAGATAGAAAGAGGTGAGTGCAAGAGCTTTGAAACCTGGCAAGAATGAATGGAGCACGGAAATTCTGTCAGAAAATAGGGCGGCAGTAAAATCGTTTCAAGACCGCAGCTAATTTATGTAGAGATGAAGACGGAAATCTGGTAAAAACTATCCAGTGTACACTTTAAATATATAGGGATCATTTATCAATGCTTTTGAATAACGATACCGATGCCTCGTTTGAAGAAGATGGCTGAGCTGTTCAAAACCATCGGCGAAAGGCAGATTGGGCGCAATTTGGTTTGCAGGAAATTAGGCCGAAAATTGGAATCTCAGTGATGGGATATCCTGCTGTTGTGGCAATTGCTGCGGTACAAACCTTCTCAAGATTACATATAAGGTCCCATAGACGATACTATGTGAAAGACTGAAGCTGTTCATGAACAAACTGATTGACTTTATCATTGTATCATTGACCAGATTTTCAGTGTGTCCTGGAAAAGACCTTAGATTAGCAACCAATTTTTCATTGCTTTGACAGCGTGAAGAGAAACTGACGTTGAGCACAACTTTTAGCACCATTAAAATTGGAAAGCACCTCTCCGCGCCATTCGGGGCCAAATTAAAGTTCAAACAATGCGGCTTAATCTTATTCTGCGAAGCGTAACACGTATGATTTCCTACATTTTGTTGCCTTGGTTTTTGTCAACCCCTGACGACCAATGGGCCTAAGGGCATTCAATTTCAATATGTGGTTTTATTGGAAAAGTTTGAATGTAGTTTTTTTCTAAATATTTGTCTTAAAGAAAAAGGTGCCACTTAGTTACAAAAACTATTTATAAGTAGCTAGTTTTGAAAACTTTTTCCAACTTATATTAATTTCAATTGCAAACCTGAAAGATCTGAATTTCCTAATTTATCTGCTGGAAAGTTAAAAAGGGCAGCTATTGCGTCAAAAAAGTTATAAACAGCCCATTGTTTCCTCTCTTTATTGAGTTGTCCTCTCAAATGGTAAATAGTTCGCTGTTTATACTTAGTACAAGAATACCTACGAAAAAGCTTGTAAAAAACATTTTCTCAGAAATTGCAAACAATCGCAACATGAAACTGACGAATAAAACTCATGTTACACGTTTTTGATAGTCTAAACTTGGCCAACATTCTAAACATTTTTTCAAATTTTAAGAAAAAAATTAATTGAAGGTTATGTCAGAAGTTGTATATTAGAGTGGTCCAAAAGTGCATGTGAAAAGAGTTATATTAAAACATGGTTAAATAAACAATTGAATGGTTGGTTGCCGCGACAAAATTATAATTCTGCAGAAATAAAAATAAAATGTGTTTAATAACGCACGTACATACATAAGCTAATTTCATTTGGTTTTCTACTTTTTCGGTATATGAGTATTCAAGAAACTTGCTCTTACAGTATAAAATATATATGTACAATAGGCTGGGTCCCTTTGATATTAAGAAATCGCATGGTATTTCCTGATTCTGCAGATAATTCTAAGAGAAAGTATAGAAGAAACGATAGGTCAGAAATGAGTTACAATCAGGCGCATTATTAAATGCAAAAATTACCTTTTTACGATATTAGTTTTTCTCAACTTTTCTATTATATTGCATATAAAATGTCGTATTTAAGTTTCTTATATATGCTTTATTTGTTTTCACCATTTCTGAATTTTAAACTTAAAGAATTAGCAAACAGTAAAAAGTAACGGTAACAAAAACACTCTAGGACTTACTGTTAATTTTTGTCATTTTTTTGCTGATGATAATTTTTTTATTTTTTTATTTTCAACAAAAAATGCCAAAAATCGACGAGAAGTCTTAGCCACTTGCACTTGCGAAACTGTATACTCAACATTTTCCTAAGAAATCCATCTAAACAGCTTTAAATTTTTACCAAAAATCGCTAATTTTTTTAAATATTGCACAAAGTTTTAAACTTGGATTTATACGACTTTTTAAGAGTAAAAAATATCTTTACAAAAAAACAATAACTAAAATTAAATGACAAAAAAATAAATTGTTAAAACTTGTCAATATGTGGCGCGTTTATAATTTTGACACGGATTTTGGATGGTAAATCAATTAAAAATGTAATAAACTAAAATATATACGTATTTTGTATTCATTAGTTGTAACAAAAGGTGAACACTGTAAAACCGGCATAGAACGAAAAAATTCAATTTTGGGAAAAAGTAAATTTTTCTTTTAAAACTGCGCAGGCTAGAAACTCATTTCCAAGTTAAAGATTATTCTATATTTTCTTTTAGAATTATTTATAGAAACAGAAAATACTACGCGATTCGACGAAAAACTTCCGTCCGACTAATTTGATCCACCCTAGTGTACAATGTACATTTTACATTTATATCGTTTAAAGTTAAAGAAACTAGTTTTAAGAAAATTGTTAACCATTCAATTGGGTATCATTATTGAGACTCCTGAAGAGAAACAGAGTTTTCCCGATTGAATATTTGATTGATTTTCAGGAATTCTATGCCATTTCTGCGAAAAATGTTTTTTCCCCTTGAGCGCTTTGGGTGACCGCTAAGTATTTTTTGATTTCAAAATAAAGAAAAAATGGGGGGATATTTTTTCGGTATAGAACATCAAAATTCCGACTTTACTTTTTTTGACCATCCTAATGTATATTCGCTCAAAAAAAAATAATAATAATCAAAAAAATACCAGTTATATGTGTTCATTAACCGACTTCAAAAAAAGAGGTGGTTATCAATCCGTCGATATATTTTTTTTGATATATGTATGTTACCGCCTAAAATCGATGCCAATATTTCACTTACAGACAACAACTTTGAATTTACAAAAACAAAAGATACCGTTATTTGGTTTGAAGTTTTCTTATCAAATACCAAGGGTAAAAAGGTTTATTTTTATAAGTATGAAAAACGACTTTTTGCTACAAAAAACTGATCAACTTAACCATAGTGCAAAGGTGCATTTTTATCAGAAAGAATTAGTCAATCTCGTTCGTTATTGCGCGGAGTCAAGGTCGAATAACGGTACATTGGCTAATCGAACGAAAGAATAAACAACACTTGTGACTCATTTGCATACAAAAAGGTTGCCACTTTTGGTAGTAAACATATAGTGGTTTTTTTGAGGCTTTTTTACATTTGTGCTATTTTTTATACACTTAATTTACATTTAATTTCAAAAGCTGGTCAATATACAGTATTGACCAGCTTTTGAAATTAAATGAAAAAAAAACTGTCTCAAAACTTGATTGCTTACTTTACTTTATAAGTGCAACTACCATTTTTAGATAATCGCTAAAGCGTACTCGTACAAAAAAAAAGTATTAAAATGTAAGCTTGTATATAGCTGTACATGTGTAGTAACTAGTAAGTAGTAGCGAATATGGGCGGATATGTTGGCAAAGGTCATTGGGAAAGAAACCGTTAAACACGAAAGATAATCAACATAAATTCATAATCGCAAACAAAAAAAAAAAAAACAAAAACATAAATTTTTTTTGCCGAAAACATATGTATTTAAAGATTCGCGGAGAAGAAGACCTCAGCGCTTACATGGTACGTATGGGCAGCGCTCGCCTCGTCAAAGAGTTGTGAAAAGAGGTTAGAAAATCTAACCAAACTAACCAAATGATAGTCAATCAAATCAACGTGCATAGATACAACTCATGAGTATACTCGCAAAAATTATAACCATTGATACGTGCTTACGCTTGAACCGGTTAGTTACGTATGACGATATTTAACCACGGACGATATACAAATGATTTTTTTGAAGCAGTAGCGAAACATTTTAACTACGTTCGTAATAATTTTTTAGTTGCTTTTATGACAGTGGAAAGCAAAAGTAAGGCATGCGAAGAATTGTCAGCTATAAAGCCAGAAGTATGAAATGCCTACATACATATGTAACAAAAGCCAACAATGCTTCAATGAAAGTGTTATTACTTTGTAGGTATCATAAATGTATTCCCCCCTCGAAGTGTCTGCGAGATAATAAGCTGTAGTTAGTGAAAATTTTGGCACATAAATTATTTAACGAGCATTACTTACTGTACTAAAATACATAAACATATATGTACATGTATCACATTTCATATGCACTCACTTAATCAAGTACTTTATGCGCATGCGTGCACATAAAAACCCTATAATCGCCACTTTCAAACGGTCAAAAGCTGCAAATTGCAACGCGGTCAACACTTAACACAGCGTTAGTACATAGTGAGTCGGCGAATTAGCGCATAGACGCCAACAGTGCATAGATATTTACAAAAAGAAAATAAAAAAATAAAAATCTTAAAAAACCGATACACGTTAAATAAAAAGCAGCTTACTAGTGCCGAACGATTTCAGTCGCATCGCTGACAGCTGCCAAAACGAGTGCAACGCGAACGAACGCTAGTAGACAGACCAAATATCTTAAATTTCAAATACACAAGACAAGTAAAGCGTGCGCGCTCAAACACACACAAACACACTTTAAAGTGGAAAAAGAAATAATGGTAATCCTACGCCCACTACCCGACGATTTGGCCAAGAAAGCCAGCGAGGAGCTGAATGAGAAGTGTGACGACAATGACTATTATGTGAATACGTTGCGCGAATGGGCCGAGAAGCAGCCCTTTTTGCGCGCACGCACCGATGATCAATTCCTGATGGCATTCCTGCGCGGTTCGAAGTTCAGCTTGGAGAAGGCGAAACAAAAATTGGAAAACTTTTACATACTGCGCGCGGCTATGCCAGAAATGTTTCGCAATCGGAATTTGAGTGAGCCCAAGTACGAGGCGATCATTAAGTCGGGGTGAGTGTTCGTATG